TGCTTTTAGTCATTGGAAAATCATTTGAGGTATTTCTACAGCACGTAAACTGAAGAGTCTGTACTTTTTTCCCCTCTCATTAATACACAAAATCGGATTCTGATCGGTTTAGGGAATCTGAAAAATTTTCAGTAAACTCTTGTCACTGCTTATGAGTCAATGACCCATTTACTTTGTCCCATATACTTGCATTCATTTAAGCTATTTATATACCCCCCTCTCCACCAATGTCCTTGAGGCAGCTCACACTAAAAGTCAAGGGCAAATACAATATAAACCGGTCATGAAAATCAAAACCATCACTGTTGCTTGTAAAACAGCCAACAGCACTAAAACAATAACATTACAGAATACCGACAAGCAGCCATCCAAAGCCGTATAAAACCCGTTCCAGTACAGGAGGGGTGTGGGTGGGTGAGTGAGTGTGAAATTTTGCAATTGCTCAATTAAACTTTAACAAAGAACAACGTAGAAAGTAGAAGGATGTTCCAAAGCAGGGGCAGCTGCTCAAAAGGCCCTGCCTCTGTAGTCACCTGCCTAGGGTTGGCCCCTCTGGGTTGAGAAATTCCTGGAGATTTTGGGGGTGGAGCCTGAGGAGGGTGGAGTTTGGAGAGGGGAGGGACTTCAATGGAGTGTAATGCCATAGAGTCCACCTTCCAAAGCAGCCATTTCCCCCAGGTCGACTGATCTCTGACTCCCTTGGAGCTAGGCTGTAATCCCAGGAGATCTCCATTTTAAGAGCCAGTTTGGCATAGTGGTTAAGAGTGGCGGACCCTAATCTGAGAGAACCGGGTTTGATTCCCCACTCTTCCACATGTAGACAGCTGGGTGACCTTGGGTCAGTCACAGTTCCCTGAGAGCTGTTCTCTCAGCTCTCTCAGCCCCACCTACCTCACAGGGTGCCTGTTGGGAGAGGAAGGTAAGGTGATTGTAAGCCGCTCTGAGACTGAGTGAAGGGCGGGGTATATATCCAATCTCCTCCTCCTCCTCCTCCTCGGAGGTTGGTAGCCCTAGTCATAACCAATGTTCCCTCTAAGCTCTGGAATCTTGTGAGCAAAAATCCTACTTTCTGAGCTACTGGCATTGAAGTTGTGAGCGAGCCATTTGGCTACTGCATAAATTAGTTTGCCCTGGAGACATCCTTCCTGAGCTAAGACAAAAATGTGTGAGCCGGAGGGAACACTGGTCATAACGTGTGTGTGTGGTTTTTTGTTTTTTTTACAAAGGCCCTGAGTTGAAGACTGCAGCCTCTGAGGGAAATATATGAAAGCAGGTGGTCTTTTAAAGGCCAAACTGCACAATACAATTTTTAACAAGTCAGGCTGTGGGGAACAGCTTTTGAAAAGTCTAGAGGGGCCTGATTTGTCTCAGGACTGTGGTGTATGTTTGGGGAGGGGCTCCTGCCTTCTCCTACACACTATTTTTGCTCGCTGAAATCACCCGGGGGGGGGGGATTTTGGTCCCATTTTGAAGCTGCATGCGCAGTATTCCATGCATACTGCCAGTTTGGTGTAGTGGTTACGTGTGTGGACTCTGATCTGAGAGAACCGGGTTTGATTCCCCACTCCTCCACTTGCAGCTGCTGGATGACCTTGGGCAAGCCATAGTTCTGATAAGAGCTGTTCTTGAAAAAGAGCAGTTTCTGTCAGGAGCTCTTTTAGCCCCGCCTACCTCACAGGGTGTCTGTTGCGGGGAGGGGAAGGGAAAGGAGTTTGTCAGCCGCTCTGAGACGCCTTTGGGTAGTGAAGGGCAGAGTATAAATCCAATCTCTTCTTCTTCATATGCAACTCTAAAATGGAGTAAATAACTCCCCTAAGGACCTTTTCAGTTCAGGAAAATGCCGCGAAGGGAAGGCAAGAGACCTTCGTCCTCCCCCTACTGTGATCCTGAACCAAATCAGGACTCTGAGATGTGTAAAAGCCGTTCCCTAGTGCTGGTATGTGGCTGCAGGGAAAGCAAGTGGGTTTGTTAAAGATCATATTGTGAAGTTTGGCTTAAGGTGCCTAGGTTCTAGGAGGGACCGCACTTTGAATTAGTACCAGAAGCAAAGAGGTAGCCATTGAAGATCTTTCAGCACTGGAGGACATGCTTCTGCTTGCCTGTCCGGTTAGCCATGGACAGTGTTGTCAACCTCCAGGTGGTGGGTGGAGATCTCCCAGAATCACATCTGACCTCCTGGCTTCTTGTTGTTCAGTCGCACAGTCGAGTCCGACTCTTCGCGACCCCATGGACCACATCACGCCAGGCCCTCCTGTCTTCCGTCGTGCTCCGGAGTTTGCTCAATTTCATGTTCATTGCATCTATGACACTGTCTAACCATCTCATCCTTTGCCGTCCACTTCTTCTGTTACCTTCAATCTCCTGGCTACAGAGATTACATCCCCTGGAGAAAACAGCAGCTTTGGAGGGTGGACTCTGTGGTATTATACCCTCCTGAGCCGAGGTCCCTCCCCTCCCCATTCTCCACCCTCAGATTCTCCAGGAATTTCCCAACATAGAGGTGGCAACCCTCGCCAGCAACCTAGTCCTTGAGTTTTGGACTAATTGAAGTTTCCAAGCTATCTTAAAGGCCATCCTACATAGAGTGTGCTGCATTAATCAAGTGAAATATCTGAAGATATTTATGTGATATTATTTAGATGATATATCTCAAGACCTGGATGGCCCGGTCTCATCAGATGTAAGGGCTGAATGAGATTAGCATATATAGTGTGATAAGAAACCAATATCCGTTAATTCCCAAGGATTCCATTGTTCTGAGTGTGGTAATAACTTGCAACTTAGCAATTTCTCTTTCTACCCTGTTTTCCCGAAAATAAGAGAGTGTCTTATATTAATTTTTGCTCCCAAAGATGCGCTAGGTCTTATTTTTGGGGGATATCTTATTTTTCCATGAAGAAGAATACGGTACACTCTGTTAGGGCAGAGTGAGCAGCAGGCGGCAGCTTGTCCTGGCGGTGGTGCGGGCTCTCTAATTAAGAGACCTCGCACTTCCTGTCTGCTCCGGCTGCGCTGCGGTGCCTGCCGCTACCGCCCAGAGTTATGGTAGCTTTGTGGGGCCTTATTATCGGGGAGGCCTTATGTTCGGGGGAGGTCTTATTTTCAGGGGATGTCTTATATTTCAGCGAGAGGCAAAACTGTAAGTAGGTCTTATTTTGGGGGGATGTCTTACTTTCGGGCAAACACGGTAGTTTGTTCATAAGAACATATATAAGAGCATAAGAGAAGTCAGTGTTGGATCAGGCCAATGGCCCATCCAGTCCAACACTCTGTCACACAGTGGCCAAAAATCCCAGGTGCCCTCAGGTCAACCAGTGGGGCCAGAACTCCAGAAGCCCTCCCACTGTTGCCTCCCCCCCCCCCCCAGGCACCAAGAATACCAGAGCATCCCTTGCCCCAGCCTGAGAGTTCCTATCTATACCTTGTGGCTAAGAGCCACTGATGGACCTCTGCTCCATATGTCTATCCAATTCCCTCTTGAAGCTGTTCCGGAAGTTCCTGTGCAATAAAACAGCTACTTTGAGGTGAGAATCTCTGCCTTTAGGACTGGAGATGTGATGGTAGCGTAGAGCCTGGCTGTGTTATTTAGAATGGTAGCTGGAGGCATGTTTGTCGGTCAGGTATGTTTCCTGTATTAGGTGGTGTCTATGCAGCCGTTGTGTATTTTTACATTAGTGCCCAGAGAAGGTATTTCTAGCATAGATTGCTTCATCTCAGGTTGAGAGCAGGGTGAAAGTCGTTGCAAGGATCATTCATGCCACAGAGTTACAGTTGCCAACAATGCTCCCTCTAAGCTGTGGAGTCTTGTGAGCCAAAATCCTACTTTCTGAGCTCCTGACTGTGCGACTGAACAACAAAAATGCAGCCATTGTTTATTTTTACAGTAGTGCCCAGAGAACGTATTTCTCGCATAGACTGGTTCATCTCAGGTTGAGGGCAGGGTGAAAGTCGTTGAATGCCTGGTAAAACGAAGCAGCGATCATTCATGCCACAGAGTTACAGTTGCCAACAATGCTCCCTCTACACTGTGGAGTCTTGTGAGCCAAAATCCTACTTTGTGAGCTCCTGGCATTAAAGTTGTGAGCCAGCGATTTGGCTCCTGCATCAATTAGTTCCCTCTAAGCTGTGGAGTCTTGTGAGCAAAAATTCTACGGTGAGCTACTGGCATTAAAGTTGTGAGCGAGCGATTTGGCTGCTGCATAAATTACTTTGCTCTGGAGCCCTCCTTCCTGAGCTAAGGCAAAAAAGCGTGATCCGGAGGCTAAAAAAAACTGTGAGCTAGCTCACACTAACTCAGCTTAGAGGGAACACTGGTTGCCAACTCCTAAGTGGGAGAATTCCCGGAGATTTGAGGGTGGACCATACGCAGTAAGGGGTTGGGGAAAGAGAGGGCGCTCAGACGGGTACCATGCCATAGACGCCACCCTCCAAAGCAGCCATTTCCTCCAGGGGAACTGATCTCTGTAGCCCGGAGATCCATTGTAATTCTGGGTGATCTCCAGGCGGTGGTCGCACTCGCAACCCTGATTTTGGTTCCAACTGCAGAGACAGTTACAGATGGTGCAGGACTGGTTCGGTCACACGTCGCCATGGTTTGATTGCTGCTGGAAGCCGCTCCGCCCAGGTTCAAAATAACGCACCCAGCCAAATCGCTCGCTCACAACTTTAATGCCAGGAGCTCACAAAGTAGACTTTTTGCTCACAAGACTCCACAGCTTAGAGGGAACATTGGACTCGCAACCCTGATTTTGGTTCCAACTGCAGAGACAGTTACAGATGGTGCAGGACTGGTTCGGTCACACGTCGCCATGGTTTGATTGCTGCTGGAAGCCGCTCCGCCCAGGTTCAAAATAACGCACCCACCAGCAGCCCGCAGCGACCGCGCGGTTTCTGCCCACAAGGCGCAGCCGCGGTGGCCCGGGAGGAAGACTACACCTCCCAGCATGCCGCGGGGCGACTCCCTCGACCCCTGACGCACGCCTGCGCAGAGGAGCCCCGACTCCTTTCCCCCCTTCAGGCTGCCGGCCGGCCTTGCGCGCAAATGGCGTTCGTGCTGCTGACCCGCTGCGGCCGGCCGGCCACGTCCTTGCCCCGGCGGCTGCGGAGGGACCCCCAGGCTGGTGAGGAAGGAGGGAGGGAGGCGGCGGCGGCTCGGGGCGTGTCGCGGCCCTGCCCAAGGAGGAGGAGGGCCGGGCCGGCCTTCGGGGTGGGGTCTGGGAGCGGCTGCTTGCGGGCCTCGGGCGGCGAATGGGCCTGGATCCGCTGCTGTCGCGGAGGCGGGCGGGCCTCGGCAGCGGGGCAGCGGTGTTGACGGCAGGGGGAGGGCATTGGGTTGAATGCAGAAATAATAAATACAATGTGACATGTCAAAATCCACTTGCAAGTGTATTGAAGTGGTATTATTTAATGCTTTTTTAAAAGTTGTGGGAGACCATTAAAACCTGAAAATAAAGCTAGATCAAGCTGGGTAGCCGTGTTAGTCTGTCTGTAGCAGTAGAAAAGAGCAAGAGTCCAGCAGCACCTTAAAGACTAACAAAATGTGTTGCAGGGAGCTTTCGAGAGTCACTGCGGAAGACGTGAGCAGTGACTCACAAAGGCTCCTACCCGGCTACATATTGTGTTAGTCTTTAAGGTGCTACTGGACTCTTGTTTGTTTCTGCTGAAAATAAAGAGTTCTAAAAAAAACCCAAACTGCATTATTTAGCATATATGTGCAAACTCTCACATTCATGTAGGTACATTTAACTTACAGTGAGCAGATTCACTTCCGGAAAGGTTATCCAGCTCAGCCGCAGGAACTCTCTTGTATATTGATTCGTTATGTTATTCGTAGTCCACCACTCTCACTTCGACTCATGGCAGATTACACAGTGGAGTCAATGCAAGCAACAGAATGGGACATTCGGTGAACAGGGCAGTAGGATTAGGGCTGTAGAACCCAAACAGAACTGAAGCAAAGCACAAGTCTTGACATGCAAAAAATCCACAGTGGGGTCCTAGTTTCAGCAAGTTATAGTATAGACCAGTGATGGCGAACCTTTTAGAGTGCCCAAACTGCGACCCAAACCCCACATTTATCGCAAAATGCCAACACGGCAGTTTAACCTGAATACTGAGGTTTTTCTTTAGAAAAAACAACTCATACATTAACTTAAAATGATCCAAACAAAGTAAGGAAAGTAATCCCAAATGCTTTCATTTACTTAAAATTATTTGGCAGAGAATTCGACACTTTAATGATAGTCTGGGCCTGGCTGGGGCGATGGCACACGTGCCCACAGAGAGGGCTCTGAGTGCCACCTCTGGCACCTGTGCCATAGGTTCGCCACCACTGGTATAGACCATAGACTCTTAATAATTTATCCAAGTAATAGAAAAGAGCTAAGAGTTCAGTAGCACCTTAAAGACTAACAACATTTGTAAAATGAAGTTTGAGTCCAGTGGCGCTTTTAAGACCAACAAAGTTTAATTCTGGGTATAAGCTTTGGCGTGCATGTATACTTCTTCATATCTGGGTATAAGCTTTCATGTGCATGCACATGTCTTCAGATATCTGAAGAAGTGTGCATGCACATGAAAGCTTATACCCAGACTAAAACTTTGTTGGGTCTTAAAAGCGCCACTGGGACTCAAACTTTGTTCTGCTGCTTCAGACCAACACGGCTACCCACCTGAATCTAACACAATTTGTGGCAGGGTATGAGCTTTCGTTATCGATGGTTCTTTCCATTGCAAGGTCTTGCTGGTTGGTTTGTTTGTTTGTTTGCTCGGTGCTTAAAATTCCCATTTGTTTCACTGTGGGTTTCTTTGAGTTTCAGAATATGCTGATCTTTGTTTACTTTCTAAACTCCAACCTGCTGATCTGTCATAGCAACCCACTAATCTGAATCCCTCTTGCACGTATTCTTAAATTGTCTTAAGTACTTCTAAGGATTCTGTTCTTAGTAATGGCCGGGATCTAAATATGGTAAACCGTGTCCAGAAGCATGTCTTGGTTTTGCAAAACACACAGTTAATCAACATAGCAGGTATAGGGTATTTCCCAATATACAAAGGAGGGCATCTCAATGCAAAATCTCTTAAAAGGTCTCTTAAAAGTATATGTAAAGAGATAGCAAAGAAAATTTGTTTCCTGCCTTCATTTTTTGTTTTTACCTACCTGTCAGAAAGAGAAAAAAAATTAAGATACATGTGCTAAGGTAGCAAATGCTGAAGCCATATTCATCTCTTTTTTTCAACTACTAGGTATACTTGCAGTTTCTCTTGTAAAGAATGAAGACTTTTAAATGGCCACCTTGGTGTAGTGGTTAGGAGCCAGTTTGGTGTAGTGGTTAGGGGAGCGCGGACTCTAATCTGGAAGAACCATCTTTGATTCCCTACTCCTCTACATACAGCTGCTGGTGTGACCTTGAGTCAGTCACAAGTTCTCTCAGAGCTGTTCTCTCAAGGGCAGTTCTCGGGAGAGCTCTCTCAGCTCCACCGATCTCACAGGGTGTCTGTTGTGGGGAAGGGATTGTAAGCCGCTCTGAGACTCCTTTAGGTAGTGATAGAGATGTAAAATTTCCAGACATTTTGAAGCTCGAAAAAAAAACCTGTGGTTTTTTTTTTGGGGGGGACGGAAATTTTCGGAAAAATTGAAAAAAAAGCTACATTAGCACTTCTTTTTTCTTTTCCAGATTGAAAGTAATTCTGTTACTTTAGGAACATAAAAGATGACTATGGACATTTTTACTTGGCATGAAATTATCACAACTAGCATATTAAAAATATAGTGTATCCAAACAATTATTACAAACAGAATACCCACCCACATGCAAAAACAAAACTGAAACCTTTTTCTTTTCTTGTGACAATAGCACCTCCTAAAGGAAGAAATGCATCTTGTTCTTGCATCGGAGAGTTCAGTTTGTAACCTAGGACTTGCTTGTCCTCAGTGCACAGAAATTAGATCAATCTGATACCATACATATTTTTTAGAAATGATTTGGAAAATATTTGAACACCTTGTCTTTTTTCAATTTTTCCACCGGCCTTCACATCTCTAGGTAGTGAAGGGCAGGGTATAAATCCAATCTCTTCTTCTAAATTCCATTAATATACCAAAATGCAGTTTTATATGCTAACTGACTTAGAAGTGATGGATTTCATGTTGTTAAATCAGCAACAGTTTAGGCTTGGTTGGAAAGTGAGTATTGGGGTGTAACTATTTCCATTTCCCCCTTGATTTCTGCCCCCCTCTAAATCCCCCATTTCCCACAGTCCCCTGGCAGTGTCCGTTCCCTAACACCCACCAGGCCTCTTCCAGTTTTTGTTTTTTTAAAAATGCAGCTGACTGCTGCTATATTGATATAAAAACTTGTGCAACAGAATCTCCAGCTTTCATTTAAAAAAATACTAAGTTTCTAGCAGCTTTTGTCGTGGAGATGTCTTTCCTCTTATGTCTCTGGAACAAAGGGTGCAAGAGACATCCTTAAGGAAAGGTGGGAATTGAAATATTGTAGTGATGTAACAATATTAAGCTGCTAATATTTCTTCCTACAGAGGGTGCCATAGCATCCAGACGGAGGCAGTTTCTGGGGATGTGCTGCTATAAGAGTTACAGTCTGCCCTAATGCGGTTAACCCCTGATTTACCTGTGTGCTGACTTTCATGTTTACATTTTAGGACTCTTGGGAAATTATGCTTGTCTCGACTGTACATCCCTGAGATTAATAAATCGCGCGTAAGTAAACATTCATGCTACTGTTTCCTGTAGTTGATATCTGTTTTATGGGATGCTGACTGTAAATGCTTATTCTGGTGAGCTTCCACAAATATATATATAAAAAAATGAATGCTCATTTTATTTGCCATTTGGTAAACTGTTCGTATTGCATCAAAATATACTTGTAGTGGTTGAGTGCGCGGAATCTAATCTGGGAGAACTGGGTTTGATTCCCCACTCCTCCACTTGCACCTGGCTGGATGACCTTGGACAAGCCATAGTTCTGATAAGAGCTGTCCTTGAAAAAGAGCAGTTTCTGTCAAGAGCTCTTTCAGCCCCACCTACCTCACAGGGTGTCTGTTGTGGGGAGGGGAAGGGAAAGGAGTTTGTAAGCCGCTCTGAGACACCTTTGGGTAGTGAAGGATGGGGTATAAATCCAATCCCCCCCCCCCCCCATAAACATCTCACCACCAGAGTGCATAGAGATGCATAATGGTATTAACATCTGCTTACAATGAGGCTTATTTGTATCATGTTAGGTCAAGTTTTACAGATAACTGTGTTGATATCCTAAATCTAGTATTCTTTTTTATATACATCAGTTATTTATTGAATTCATTTATACCTGTCAAACTCGCTGTCTCGTTTGTCATGTAATTTGGGGAAATTCCAGGAGAGGGGGGCCAGTGTGAATGGGTATGTGTGAGAATGGCTTTGTTATAGGGCTATGCGTCTCATGTAACTTCTGAAGATACCTCCCTTTCCCAGGGATGTCGACCAGATGGTCTTGGTCTGTCTACAAATGCAGATTTACAGGTGTGTGTGGGGGGATTAGAGCCAGGCGGGTTAGGTGGGAATGAATGATCAGTGTGATTGGAGGAGCCTAGGTTTGAACCAGGTATAATTTGGGGTTTTCGCGCCTGAATCTCAGTTCTGACTTAACAACGTTCTTAGCTTGGATCATCTGGACATAAGCATTGTGTCCAGATCACGGGAGGTGGTAGTTCCGCTCTATTCTGCTATGGTCAGGCCTCATCTGGAGTCCTGTGTCCAGTTTTGGGCACCACATTTTAGGAAGGACGTTGACAAGCTCGAGCGTGTCCAGAAGAGGGCAACCAGGATGGTGAGAGGGTTGGAATCCAAGTCTTACGAGGAAAGGCTGAAAGAGTTGGGTCTGTTTAGCCTGGGAAAGAGAAGGCTTAGAGGGGACATGATTGCCGTCTTCAAGTATTTGAAGGGCTGTCATGTAGAAGATGAAGCAGATCTATCCTCTCTTGCTCTGGATTGCAATACTAGATCTAATGGGTGGAAATTACAAGGGAGTCATTACTGGCTAAATATAAGGAGAAACTTCCTAACTGCAAGAGTGGTTGAGTCGTGGAACAGACTGCCTTGGAGGTGGTGGATGCTCCTTCGCTGGATGTTTTCAAGCGGAGGCTGGACAACCATCTTTTGGGTATGTTGTAGGGCTCTCTTTCGGCTATGCTCCTGCAGAGTGCAGGGGGTTGGACTAGATGACCTGCAAAGATCCCTTCCAACTCTAACATTCTATGATTCTATGATCTTTATTCTTCAATAAACAAATTGCCTTCAGTGAGTGTTGTGGAGAGTAACTTTGTCCAAGAGTCTGACAGTACCCCCCTTTCTCCCCAGTGGGGACCCAAAGCAGCTTATGATGTTCTTCTGGACTCCATTTTATCTTCACAATAACCCTGTGAGGTAGATTAGGGTGTA